GGAGGGAGGAGGCGAGGTGTGGGAGGGCATCGGGGGCTCCGGGGGCATGACGAGGCCACGGAGCGTATGCAGGGCTCTCTGCCGTGTGTCCACACCCCCGACATTCCCCGTGTCCTGGAGGGGGACTCCCCTGGGCTCATCCCCGGAACCCCTTTGGGGGAGGGCCATGATGGAAAGTGCCGGAACCGAGTCCCAGGGCCGGGAACCACCTGCGTTGTAGGCTTTCTCCAAGAACACCTTGTGCGCCTGGGGCCCCAGGGCCACGTGGCTGCTGTTGGGCCTGCACAGGAGGATGGTGGAGGCGTGTGCCGGCCTGTCCCCCTGGGCGAAGGTCTGAGGTGCCTTTCGGTGGGACAGGTCCTTCGTGGATTCCGAGATGCGGGAGGAGATTCTGGAAGGGAAGAGTCCTGGGTGTGTGCCCCCGTAGGTGCTCATGGGTGTGAGCGCGGGGACACGGGGTGCCTGGGCCTGGGTCAGGCTGGGTCGCATCCTTCCAGGCGTCCACCCTTCTGTTCAGTGGACTGACTGAGCCCTGGGAGGAGGGTGCAGGCCTTGCCGCCTCAGGGACACTATTTTTAAAAATATATATTTTTTATTGATTTTTCACAGAGAGGAAGAGAGAGGGGTAGAGAGTTAGAAACATCAATGAGAGAGAAATATCGATCAGCTCCCTCTTGCACACCCCCTACTGGGGATGTGCCCGCAACCAAGGTACATGATATGGTGTGATGAAAGCATAACAATAGAAATAAATAGAGCAAGACACACAGACCACAGAAAGACCCATACATACAGGGCCTGTTGACTTACGATAAAGGTGCAAAAGCCATTCAATTAAGAAAGGACCAACACATGGTGTTTCAATGATTGAATACACACATGAAAAAAACAAAACAACCCTGACACATGCCTCAAACTACCGTATGTACACAAATTAAATGAAAATAGGCTGAAACCGGTTTGGCTGAGTGGATGGAGCATCGGCCTGCGGACTGAAAGGTCCCAGGTTCGATTCTGTCAAGGGCATGTACCTTGGTTGCAGGCACATCCCCAGCAGGGGGTGTGCAAGAGGCAGCTGATCGATGTTTCTCTCTCATTGATGTTTCTAACTCTCTGTCCCTCTCTTTCCTCCATGTGGAAAATCAATAAAATATATATATAAAAAAATAGATCGCAGGCCCTGGCTGGTTTGGCTCAGCCTGTGAACTGAAGGTTCCCGGGTTCAAGTCGGGTCAGAGGCGCAGGCCTGGGTTGCAGGCTCGATGCCCAGTGTGGGGTGTGCAGGAGGCAGCTGATCAGTGGGCTGGGCAGCGGGGCCGCCCTGTGTCCCAGGGAGGGCACCCTCCATCCTGGGGCCCAGGAGGCAGGGGAGGAACGTGGGGCACCCCCTGGGGCCTGCTCAGGACATGGGGGACCAAGGCCGTAGAGGAACGTTCCCTGGAGAAGCTGAAGCTTGTCCGGCCGGGGGGCTCCGGGGCTGAGCATGACCTCTGACCCAGGAGCTCCCGGTTCCGTTCTGGTCGCCCGGGTGTCAGGCTCCCCCCCAGTGGGGGGCGTGCAGGAGGTGGCCTATCCCTGACTCTTTCTCATCATGGATGTTTCTCTTCCCCCTCCCCTTCCTCTCTGAAACCAACAAGTGAATGGAGCATGTGCCTGTGTGTAAAGAGGCTGGAGCTGCGGGCACAGGGCTGCCTGCCCGTCCGTCCCAGGAGGCGGCGTGGGGGCCGGACCGACGCCCGGCTGCCCGCCTGCGGGCCTCACGGCGGTCAGCAGCTGCGAGGCGGAACTCAGGCTTCCTCCCTCCCCCGCCTCGCCGCCCGCCCGCCTGGCTGCACCTCCCAGCTCCCTCCTCAGCTCAGGCCCGAAGAGGCGGAGGCCGGCTCCTGGGCAAGGGGCCCTGTGCCCTCCCGGACCCCGGCTGGCCGTGCGGGGGCTGACCTAGGGCTCGAGGACAGGGCTGACGGCGTCCTGTGAGCCGGGGCGTGGCTGCGCTGCTTTTCCGAAAGCTGCCGGTCCATCTTGGGGTGCGGCATGGAGGACCCACAGGCCTGTCCTCACGCCAGCGGGGAGCCCTATCTCTGGGCACCCCTCCCCGGTTCTGCCAGCTCTGACCTCAGCCCTGAGGTCACAATGGTCCCAGCGTGCAGGGCACTTTGCAGGGGCAGACCTGGGACCCCGGGCCTGGTGCTGTGCCCATGGCAGCGTGTGGGGGCCTGGCCCTGTGCCCCCCACGTGGCCTGGGACCTGGCCCTCGTCCCCCCCTCCCCTCACCCGCTCTCGGCCGCCCCTGTGAGGCCCACGGAGCAGCCCCGTGCCTGCAGCCTCGGAGAGCCCCTGAGAGGAGGCCAGGGAGGCCCTGCTGGCCCCTGACCCCAGGCCTGGGGGAGTGGGGCCCGTGGGAGCACTGAGGCAGAGCCACTGTCACACGGCAGCCGGAGCGACGACGTGTCCGTGCAGCTGGGGTTCTGGGCGGCTCCATCACACTGGCCGCGGTCGCTGCAGACGCAGTCCCTGAGGAGGGGCCGGAGGGACACTCCGTGGGCTCTGCCCCCGCCATGTCTGAGAATGGGGACATGTCGGGTCAGAGTGCCTCCCATGAGCCTCTGGGGAGTGAGGGGCACCGACAGCCCCTGCTGGGGGGGGGGGGCTCCGCCCGGGCACCTCACAGCAGCTGGGGGCGGGCGCACTCACCCCGTCCCTGGCGTTGGGGTGACGCTGAGAGCGGCGAGGAGGTCACACGCAGTCAGTGGTGGAGCCAGGTTCAGACTGAGGCCCCCAACTCCAGGCCAGGGTGAGGGTGAGGCCCAAGGAGACCTCACACCTGCTCTACCTGCCCCCACCCCCCCACCCCTCCAACCCTCCCGCCCCTTGTCCTGCCAGTACAAGCCCACTGGGGCCTCCAGGCCCACTCGCCCGCGCCTCCCTGTGCCGCCAGCAGATGGCACTGTGGGCCCAGGCAGGGGCGGTGAGGGAGGACGGGGAGGGTGGGGGGTGTGCTGAGGAGGACAGAGGCAGAGGCAGGGGTGCTGAGGAGAGACCTGTGCTCTTCCAGGGGCCGCTCTCCCCGCCCCGCAGCCCCCTGGACCTGGAAGGGCAGGTCGGAGTGTGTGGAGGGACTCTGACAGCCCACCGCCCAGGGGTGGACCGGGCTGTGGGCACCGCTGCCACGGGCAGTCTGGGCCCCACCTCGCACCTTTGCCCAGGCCGTCCCTCCGCACCCCCACTCCTCACCCCTCAGCCGCAGCCGGGCCACAGCACAGGCTGCTGGCACTGCCCCGAAGAGGCCTGCCCACGGGGCAGCCCAGCCCCGTCTCTCCACCCCTCCACCCCTCCACCCCTCCACCCCTCCACTCCGCCACTGGGCCGTGGCAGGGCTCCAGCTCCTCCGGCCACTCCTCTCCCGGGGCCTCCCGTGGGCAGCACCCGCCTGCGGGCCTGCTCCGTTCCTGCCCGCCAGCGCCGCCTGCTGGGCTCCCCAGCCCTGTCTTCTCCACGGCCTTTGCTCATGGCCCTGGCCAGGCCCGTCCCCTCCCCCCAGCCCTGGGCGCCCCGGCCCTTGGCTGAGAGCCAGGGTCTCCCCGCCGGACACTGCATCCCGGAGGGGGGACCGGAGTTCCCTCCCTGCGGTGCCCACAGGCCTGTGTGAGGGCAGAGGAGCCCTCGGAAGGGCTGTGGGGGCCGCTGGGTGGGTCTGCCGCCCGGGGAGGGGCAGTGTCGGCCCGGGCGCCTCATCGCCCAGGGCTGCTCCTCCTGTCACCCACCGCTCACAGCGGAGGGGAGGCAAGGAAAGAGGCTTCTCTCCCACTTCCTGGAAATGCGGTTTAAAATAACTGCAAGAGAAATAAATAAACAAAATAAATAAAGATAACTGCAAGGAGGCACCAGGAGGGGTTATCCTGCAGCGTGGGCAGCGCTGGGCCCTGCTCACTCACACTCCTCGCTGCCACCCTCCTCTCCCGCCCACAGGCCTTGCCCTCCTTGCTCTCTGCCTGGACCCCTCTCTGCCCCGCAGGGAGGCAGGAGGCAGGGAGGCAGGAGGCAGGGAGGGAGGCAGGAGGCAGGGAGGCAGGAGGCAGGGAGGCAGGAGACAGGGAGGGAGGGAGGCAGGAGGCAGGGAGGCAGGGAGGGGAACCGTGCGGTGGGGCTGCTGAGACCGGAGGGACCGGGGCTGTGGTGGGGGTCTGGGGGGAAGAGGAGGCATGTGGGCTGTGACCAGAGCTGGGAGGGCCCGCCCGCACTCTGGCTCCTTCTCCACTCACTGCTCCCCGTGAGCCCGCAGCTCCTGGGCTGCCTCCTGCCCCCTGATGCCGGCACCTGCTGCCCAGGGCGGGCCACACTTCCCAGCATCCCTTGCAGCTAAGAGGGCTGCCTGACTCCGTTCTCGCGGCTGGCCCATTGGACACCTGAAGGGTACCGTTTTCCTTGGTGGTTTTTAATTTTTTAAATATATTTTTATTGGTTTCAGAGAGGAAAGGCGCGGGAAGAGAGAGAGAAAAACATCAGTGATGAGAGAGAATCATGGATCAGCTGCCTCCTGCTCGCCCACAACCATGACCGGGAATCGCACTGAGCCACCCGCCGGGCTCCCTGTCGCTGTAAACCTCTTCCTGGGGTTGCTGTGCAAAGTGGTGCGACTCCATCCAACCAGCAAACAAACAATGCCCTCCCGAGCCTCATTTTCCCCATCTGTAAAATGGCTGAACCCACTTTACCGGATATTCAACGAGGAAAGTAATTACCTTAGAGAAGCATGACATGGTGATACATTGTAAGGATCTGACCCCCTTTCCCCGCCCCCCCCACCCCCCCAGCTGGCTTCCTAGCCAGGCCAGGAGCTGGCTGGCTGCAGGGTGTGCGGGAGAGGCCAGTGCCAGCTGACCCCCCTTCCCCTTTCCACCCACCCACCGCCAGGTGGGGCCCCTTTAAATGCAACGTTCTTTCCCCCCAGGCCCCACCCCCGTCTCCTGGGCAGCAGGTAAACAATCTGCCCGGCTGCTGACATGGCCTCCCCCTACCCCGGGGACCCCAGCAAAGCCAGCCTGCCGCCGCCCCTGGTGCCTACTCCAGGTGAGGCACAGGCAGGGAGGGCTGGAGGGGGCAGGGTGCCGGTGGCATATGGGGGGGGGCTCTGCCAAGGCAGACAGGGCTGAGGGCCTGGACACCACCCCAGAGCCAGCAGTCCCCCCTCTCGTGTCCCTGTGGGCGGGGCCTCTGCACTCCTCAGGGCTCCTCAGGTCACCCTCTGGCCCCCCCCCAGCCCTAATCACCCCCCGCTGCACTGTGAGCTGGTCCTCAGAAGTCCGCCCACCCAGTCTACCTCCCTCCCGCCTCCTCCTTGGACTGGGATCCTGGTCTCTGCTGTCACCACATTGGTGGTTCCCCCCACATTGTCCTCTTAAAGGCCCTCATCCTCCCCAGCCCCCCGCGTCCTGGCTCCCCTCCAACTCTCAGGAGTTCCCAGCAGTTTCTCTGAGTGGGGCTCCAGCACTCCCGGGAGCCAGGGTTTCTAGCAAGTTCCCACCCCTTCCCCGTCCTGCCTGCCACCCCCCCCCACCCCCCCCCGTGTGATCATCACACCCGCATACTCTCCCCCGCCCTGGCCCTTGCTTTTTCTGTTGTGTCAGCCTGGCAACCCCCCAACTTCCCGCCTCCTCCTTTCCTGGTTCACACAGCTGAGCAGATGGGGAGAACCTCCCCCCGCTAAAGCCTGTGGGGCTGGGGCCGTCCCTGAGCCTGGGCCCTGAGCCTGGATCCTTGAGCCCCTGAGCCTGGCCCTGAGCCTGGGCCCTGAGCCTGGATCCCTGAGCCTGGGCCCTGAGTCCCTGAGCCTGGCCCTGAGCCTGGATCCCTGACCTTGAGCCTGGGCCCTGAGCCTGGATCCCTGACCCTGAGCCTGGGCCCTGAGCCTGGATCCCTGACCCTGAGCCTGGATCCCTGACCCTGAGCTTGGGCCCTGAGCCTGGATCCCTGACTCTGAGCCTGGGCCCTGAGCCTGGGCCCTGAGCCTGGGCCCTGAGCCTGGCCCGTGCATTCCTCCTCTGTCCAGTCTCTCCCTCCTCACCCGCCTCAGCCTCCTCCTCGCGGCTCTTGGCTCTTCCCCTGCAGCCCCTCCTCCCTGGGACCCGCTTCCTCCTCCGCTCTTGGTGATTTCACCTGCCTCCGTGCCTTCAAATGGCACCTTTTGCCGGCCGGCCTGGCTCAGTGCTGGCGTCGACCTAGGAACCAGGAGGTCATGGTTTGACTCCGAATCAGGGCTCACCCCTGGGTTGCAGGCTTGATCCCCAGTGTGGGGGCGAGCAGGAGGCAGCTGATCCATGATTCTCTCTCATCATGGATGTTTTTCCCTCCCTCTCTCCCTCCCTTCCTCTCTGAAATCAATACAAATATATTTTTTAAAAATAGCACCTTCTGGGTCCTTCCCAGCCAGAGCCCACCCCAGCTGCCGGCTCACAGCCAGCTGGCCTCTGCGCCCCCTCCCCCAGCCTGTCAGAAGGACCCATCTTCCCGAGTTAGAGCCCCGCCCCCCTCCCCCCCCAGCCTGCAGTGGGTGGGCAGGAGGAGGTGCTGAAGGGAAGAACCAGGAGCTGCGAAGAGGAGGGACCTTGGCCAGGAGCCTGCAGGTCGCTGCACGGAGGCTGAGAGCAGCCCCCACCTCAGTAAGCCGGCCTGGGTTCTGCCAGGTGCTCAGGCCCCAAACCACAGTGTCTTCCCTCTCCCCTCCCACCCACCCTGACCAGGACAGACTGCCACTTCCATCTTTCAGACACAGTCAGCATCCGAGTGTCTCTCACCCCACCCCTGCGTGCCAGTACCCCTCGGCCCTGGATCCTGCCTGGCTGCCTCGGGGTGTCCCTCTTCCCATGCACCGGGGGTCTCCCCTTCCCTCCCCTCCCCTCCCCTCCCCTCTCCTCTCTTCTCCTCTCCTCCCCTCCTCTCATGGAGGCCCCGTCCTCACAGCCCCTCCCCTGCCTGCCTCCCCACCTGCTGGCGCTGAGGGTGAAGCCAGGCCAGGGGCCGGACAGAGGGCAGCCCTGCACCTCCCGCTGCTCACCTGGAGGCCCAATGGGCAGGCACCACCCAGGTCCCAGGCTCCTGGGGGCCGTGGAGCTGTCCGCGGTGCTGAACGCACCCGCCCTGGCCCTCCGGTCTGGGACTGAGCTCGGAAGGTACCCTCGGCAGGCGCTCAGGCAGGCGGCCCCGTCTTCTCTTTAGGGGGGAGGAAGCGGGGGCAGAGCACCTCCGATGGCTCCCGTTTCCAGCAGGAGGGACTGAGCTGCAGGCGGTTAAACCGGCCCTGGCTCGCACAGGCGGAGGCGGACTCCCCCGGGTGGCCTGCTCCTTGCCCAGGGCCTGCCTGGCACACACAGGCGCCCAGCACGCTGTGAAGGGGGTGAGGGTGATCGCCCAGAGGTGCTTGGCCACGTGGGAGGGGACCACCCATCCAGAGTCGGGGTCAGAGCTGCCACCTGGGGCCGCAGAAAGGCTGTGAGGGCGCAGGGACCCAGACCAGGGTGAAGTGCTGTGCTTGTACCCAGGCCATTTTCAGAGAGGGGGTCCCCAAGGACCCACATAACTCACTCACTGACGTCAGACCAGGAGACTCACATGCCTCCTTCAGCCTGCTCCAAGGGGGTGTCCAATGGGGAGCCACTCCCCTGGCACCGGGCCCACACCCTGCACCCCAGGCCGGGAACCCCTTCTCCCCAGACTCCTCCCCACTTCCAGCTGCCAGGCCTGGCCTGGGCCCTCAGCCTCCCTCCTCCAGCCAGTGCTTCCCTGTCCTCGTCCTGGCTCCCTCCTTCCCGATCCCGCCTGACCGGGGCGGTCCCAGAGCCGTTCTCTGCACAGCCCAGGACCCACTCCTCTTCTTCCCCACCCCCCGGGGGCGGCTGGTGCCCTGAGCCGGCATCCTGAGCAGCCAGCCTGGGCAGCCACCCAGCCTTCTCCCGCAAACAGCAGACATATCTCACACACATCTTTATCGACTTCCGGGAGGAGGAGATGGAAACATCAGTGATGAGGGAGCATCATGGATGGGCTGCCTCCTGCTCGCCCCACACCGGGCATGGAGCCTGCCCGCAGGCCTGTGCCCTGACCGGGAACAAAGCCCGACCTCCTGGTTCCTAGGCTAATGCTCCACCACTGAGTCTGCCACACCGCCTAGGGCTGTCTGCCCTCCGCGGGGTGGGGGTGGGGGGCTGTCTGCCCTCCGCGGGGTGGGGGGGGGCTGTCTGCCCTCCGCGGGGCGGGGGGGGGGGCTGTCTGCCCTCCGCGGGGCGGGGGGGGGGCTGTCTGCCCTCCGCGGGGTGGGGGGGGCTGTCTGCCCTCCGCGGGGTGGGGGGGGCTGTCTGCCCTCCGCGGGGCGGGGGGGGGGCGGCCTGCCCTCCGCGGGGTGGGGGGGGGCTGCCTGCCCTCCGCGGGGTGGGGGGGGCGGCCTGCCCTCCGCGGGGTGGGGGGGGCTGTCTGCCCTTCGCGGGGTGGGGGGGGCTGTCTGCCCTCCGCGGGGTGGGGGTGGGGGGGCTGTCTGCCCTCCGCGGGGTGGGGGTGGGGGGCTGTCTGCCCTCCGCGGGGCGGGGGGGGGCGGCCTGCCCTCCGCGGGGCGGGGGGGGGCGGCCTGCCCTCCGCGGGGTGGGGGGGGCTGCCTGTCCTCCGCGGGGCGGGGGGGCTGTCTGCCCTCCGCGGGGCGGGTGCTGCCCATCAGGGGCACCCCCTCCGCGGGCCCGGCTCAGCCAGGGCCGCCCCCTCCGCCCTCCCTGCCCCTGTGCTGGCGGCTCCGCCCGCTGCAGGCGCCCGTGCCCACGCCGTGCCCGCGCCCGCAGGCGCCGCGCTGCCCCCGGAGTGCCCGTTCCCGGACATCTACGGCGGCGACGCGCAGCTGTGGGAGGCGCACTTCCGCGGCATCGGGCGCGCCTACCGCGCGCTGGGCAAGGAGGACGACTTCGCCATCCGCGTGCTCACCGAGGACTTCACGCTGCCCTTCCCGTTCGCCTGGCCGCCCGGCCCGGACCCCGCGCGCGGGCCGCTCTTCTACGACCCGCGGGACCGCGCGGGCTTCGACTTCCTGCTGCGCGGCCCGGGCGCCGCGCCCCCCGCGCTGCTGCGGCCCCTGCACCACGCGGCGCAGGCCGCCCTGCGCAAGCAGCGCCTGGAGCGCCTGGCCTTCCGCTACGCGCAGGGCCCGCGGCCCGGCCTGCTGCTCCTGGCGCCGCCGCCGCCCGCACCGCCCTCCCGCGGCCCCCGGGGCCCGAGCCCGCCGCCCCTGGCGGGGGGGCCCCCAGGCTGGGCCAGCCCTGCGGCCCCAGAAAGGGAATAAAGGATGTTTCTGCTCCTCCGGCCCCGAGCTCTTTGCTGGACACCCCTCCCTGCACAGACAGGCTCCGCACCCTCCGGGCCCTGCCCCTGGGCCCGGGCCGGCCTCTCAGGGACCGGAGCGGGGGTAACGTGCACAGGCGGCCAGGCGGCCAGGCCCAGTGGCTGCGGAGGCCCAGGGCCTGGGACAGGGAGGGTGCGGCCCGCTCCCCCAGTGCCTTTCCTCTGGGCCCTCGCCACCGTCCTGGGGTGGGTGGGTGGCCCTGTCCCGAGGGCCGGGTCACCGAAGCCCTGGGTCCTCCACGGGGCAGCTGGGAGCCGGTTCCTGTGTGTCTGACTCCCAGCTCAGCTGTTCCCCATTCTCCCCGTCAGAGACCGTGGGGTGGGGAGGGGAGGGGAGGGAGAGGCGGAGGGAGGGCAGACAGGAGGGCACAGGGGACAGGACCCAAGGGAACAGAGTGGGTGGGTGGGGGGAGGGAGTGACAGTGCCCGGAAAGGACATCAGATGCCGTATCCGGGGCCCCACAAGCGTCGTGTTCACTCATCGCGCTTTGGCGAATGGCCGTCCGTCCCGAAGGAGGGGATCACAGCACACAGGTCTCGAAATGCACAGTCGCCTCCAGTTCCAGGATTGGCAACAGATTCATGGTCACATCACAAGAGTCCTTTTTATGAAGCACTTCTCTGGAGAGATTGCTGTCTGGTCAGAATATTAATATTGCCTGCTAATTGTGCTTTTGCCAAAGGAAAAAAATGTGTTTTTGGTTTTTTTTTTGTTTTGTTTTTTTTTACCATTTCTATGTGTCCTGTGACTCGATCTTCCTTTGTGCATAAGCTGTTCAGAACAGGAGCCCTGGCCAGTGTGGGTCACTGGCTGGGCGCTGCCCATGCACGGAAGGGTTGCTGGTTCCATTTCCGGTCAGGGCACATGCCTGGGTTGTGGGCTCGGTCCCTGGTAGAGGGTGCCGGAGGCAGCCAACCATTGTTTCACTCTCACATCGATGTTTCTCTCTCTCCGTCTCCCTTCCTCTCTCCCTAAAAAATTAATAAAAATCTTGAAAAATAATGATAATTTCAAGATATTTGGGTTATATACAAAATACTTAAGCAGGTAGTTACAGTCTGTGGGTTGACATTATAAAGAATATATATATTAGAGGCCTGGTGCATGAAACTTGTGCATGGGGTGTGTCCCTCAGCCCAGCCTGCACCCTCTCCAATCTGGGATCCCTCTCACAATCCAGGACTGCTGGCTCCCAACTGCTCACCTGCCTTTCTTACTGATTGCCCCTAACTGCCTCTGCCTGCCATCCTGATCACCCCCTAATCACTCCCCTGGCAGCCTGATTGATGCCTAACTGCTCCCCTACCAGTCTGATTGCCCGTACCTGCCCTCTCCTGTAGGTCTGGTCAGTCCTAACTGCCCTCCCTTGCAGGCCTGGTCTCTCCCAACTGCCCTCCCCTGCTGACCTAATCACTCACAATTGCCCTCCCCTGCTGACCCAAAGTCTTTACCTGAGCTCAGACCCCAAACCAGGCACCCAGACCCCCATCTCAGGGCCCTGACCTCCGTCCAGGGGTCAGACCTAAATTCGGGGCCCAGACCTTCATGGGAGGACCCTGTTTCCACGGCGAGACCCAGACCGCATCTGAGGTCAGTCCTGTGGCCCAGACTTCCATCTCGAACGCAGAGTCCTTACCAGAGCCCAGCCCCCAACCCAGGGCCCAGCCCCCATCCCAAGGCCCAGCCCCCATCCCAGGGCCCAGCCCCCATCCCAGGGCCCAGACCCCATCCCAGGGCCCAGCCCCCATCCCAGGGCCCAGCCCCCATCCCAGGGCCCAGCCCCCATCCCAGGGCCCAGCCCCCATCCCAGGGCCCAGACCCCATCCCAGGGCCCAGCCCTCATCCCAGGGCCCAGCCCCCAACCCAGGGCCCAGCCCCCATCCCAGGGCCCAGCCCCCATCCCAGGGCCCAGACCTCCGTCCGGGAATGAGACCTGTATTTGGGACTCAGACCTTCATGGGACTTCCCACAGGGCCCTGACCTGTGTATGGCTGCTGACTTCAAATCCGGGGATGATACCACTAGGCCGGGACCCAGCCCCCAACCCAGGGCCCAGACCCCATCCCAGGGCCCAGACCCCATCCCAGGGCCCAGACCCCATCCCAGGGCCCAGACCCCATCCTAGGGCCCAGACCCCATCCCAGGGCCCAGCCCCCATCCCAGGGCCCAGACCCCATCCCAGGGCCCAGACCCCATCCCAGGGCCCAGACCCCATCCCAGGGCCCAGACCTCTGTACAAAGATCAGACCTCACTTCGGGGCCCAGACCTTCATGGGAGGACCCTGTTTCCATGGTGAGTCTCTGAGGTCCCTCCCTGACCCTAAGGCCCTGCCGGGTCCCAAACGTCTGTCCGGGGCTCAGACCTGCCTCCTGGTCACCGACCATTATGGCGAGGACCAGAGGGCCATGCCCAGGAACGAGAGTGGAAACCAGTGCCTCTTCCTTAATTGGAGTCTAAACATCCAGGCTACACCTGACCACCATCTCATCATCCCCAGGTCCTGCTCTTGCCCCAGACCTCCCTCCTGGGCCTATAGCGCCCCCTAGTGCCCAAACCTTGTTCGAGCACCCAGACCTACATCCGGGTCCTAGACCTTCATGGCGGGGCCCAGAAGGCCATCGGGGGCCCAGGCCGAGAAAAGTATCAGGAGAGTGGGTCTATCAGCCCTCTCTATCTCCCAACAACCTTCCACAAGGCAGAGGTCAGGTGAGGAGCCGGACCGGCCCCCAGGAAATGGGCGTGTTGGGGACGCTGGCGGGCCGAGGAGGACGTGTGGGGGCGGGGACGCTCGGATGGCCGGGAGAGGTGTGGGGGGCCCTTGAACTTTGCAGGCCTCAGGCTGCTTGTCTGTGAAATGGGCTGACCCTGGCCAGTGGCGATTTCTCTTGGCAGAGAGTCCAGGCCTCCGAGCTGGGCTGTGCTGGCGGGCGGGGAGGCTCCCAGGGCCCCTTAATTGCTGAGCGCTAACGAGCCTTGAAATTAAATGAAGAAGAGGAACCAATGGCCGGACATGCTTCCCTCCCACACGGTCCGCCTGCCTGGGGAGGCAGTGAGAGGCTCGGGGCGGACGGGGCTGGGGAGCGGTTAGAGCAGGTCCCACCAGGAGGGAGGGGACCGGAGGTCCAGGGGCTCATGTGCGTGGGGGCGGGGAGAGAGCACGTCTGAGCACCCAGCCCCAAACCCGCTGGGTCCCTCGGCCCCCCATCCCCTTTTGGAAAGGACGTGTGCCCACGCCCTGCTCGGGACTGGCTCTGGCCACGGGACCGGCCACGGGACCGGCCGTGCCTCCCCAGCCGCGGGGTCGTGGGCCTGGAGGAGGTCAGAGCGCCTGGGTCCGAGACAGGTGGGGTGCCCGGGGTGGGCCTCGGTCCCCTGATGCCGCGCTGTCCAGTCACCGCCGCCCTGGTCTCAGCCGCTCCCAGGCTGAGCGCTGGGCCCGTCCCACTCGCTTTAAAGACCCGATTGTTCCGACCCGCATCTGAGAGGCGCCCCCCCCCCCGCCCCCGCACTTCCTCGCTCCTGCGGTCCGCCCACATCCATCATGGCTGATGGCTGGCGGGAGGCGTTTATGCCAAGAGCCCTTACTCCCGGGAAGAGAGAAATAAAGGCTCCGGCTTTCCGGAAGTGGGGGAGCAGCGCCAGCCGACCAGGTCCCTGTGGCCGCTGGCCGGCCGGCCGGGCTCCAGGCCCGTGGGGGGGGCGCTGGCCCCGAGCTTCGGGAGAGAGCTTCGGGCTCGCTGCTTTCCGAGTGAGGGGCTGAGCTTCCTTGGAGCCGCGCAGGGCTCGCTCCTGCCTCCTCTTTCGGGAGCAGCAGCCGGAATCGGCGCCGCTTTCTAAACCTGTCCTCCACGCCGGGAAGGGCGGAGGGGCCCGGCCTGGCCCCAGGGATCTGAGCTCGCAAACGGGGTCAGAGCCAGGCGGGGGCAAGCAGGCCGGGGGCACCGCCCGGGCTGGGTGGGGTGGGCCTGGCCTCACGGCGCCTAGGACGATGGGGGAGGGGAGCTGCTGCCCGTGCCCCTTCGTATGGCTGTGTCTGTGCTTTCGCACTTTCCTTTCCTTCCTCCTCACCGCGGGCACGTCCCCATGGGTGTCGGGCGGGTGTCGGGCACGTCCCCATGGGTGTCCGGCGGGTGTCGGGTTGTCCGGCGGGTGTCGGGTGGGTGTCGGGCGGGTGTCGGGCGGGTGTCAGGCAGGTGATAGGTGGGTGTCGGGCGGGTGTCGGGCGGGTGTCAGGTGGGTGTAAGATGGGTGTCAGGCAGGTGATAGGTGGGTGTTGGGCGGGTGTTGGGCGGGTGTCGGGCGGGTGTCGGGCGGGTGTCCGGCGGGTGTCGGGTGGGTGTAAAATGGGTGTCAGGCAGGTGATAGGCGGGTGTCGGGCGGGTGTCAGGCGGGTGATAGGTGGGTGTCGGGCGGGTGTCCGGCGGGTGTCCGGCGGGTGTCGGGCGGGTGTCGGGCGGGTGTAAGATGGGTGTCAGGCAGGTGATAGGCGGGTGTCGGGCGGGTGTCGGGTGGGTGTCGGGCGGGTGTCGGGCGGGTGTCCGGCGGGTGATAGGCGGGTGTCGGGCGGGTGTCGGGCTGGTGTCCGGCGGGTGTCAGGTGGGTGTCTGGTGGGTGTCAGGCAGGTGTCAGGCGGGTGATAGGTGGGTGTCAGGCGGGTGTAAGATGGGTGTCAGGCGGGTGTAAGATGGGTGTCAGGCAGGTGATAGGTGGGTGTCGGGCGGGTGTCGGGCGGGTGATAGGTGGGTGTCCGGCGGGTGTCGGGTGGGTGTCCGGGCGGGTGTCGGGCAGGTGTTGGGCGGGTGTCGGGCGGGTGTCAGGTGGGTGATAGGTGGGTGTCCGGCGGGTGTCGGGTGGGTGATAGGTGGGTGTCCGGCGGGTGTCGGGTGGGTGATAGGTGGGTGTCGGGCGGGTGTCGGGCGGGTGTCCGGTGGGTGTCGGG